CCTCTCACATGAGAAGCCCCTAAATGCAACCCCTGCCCACCTGCCCATCTCTGCAGCCCTCCCCAGCCAGAGCTTCGGACCTCTTCATGCCTCCTAACTGACCTCCCTGAGAGTGCTGGCTGTCATCTGGGGCTCCCACTCCAAGGAACTTGCTTTATTTTCTTTATTAGAAACTTATTTTACGTATCTATAAAACTAGTGAGACTGAGAGATTGGAAACAGTTAAAAAAATATATATATATAACCTCATTACTAGACGTCAAAGTTAACATGCTGACAAATGTCTTAGTCTGTGGTGTGGACCTGTGTAATTAAACATCATCTCTCCAGTTGGTTGTTTATGCTATTTCTAATTTTTTATATTATGCATGTATATGATGATATGGCAAGTAGTCCTATAAGTAAATCTTAACTTATATTGATAATTAAATCCTTAAGATAAATGCCTAGCAAAGTCTTTTGTTGGCTCAAATGGTATGACCATTTTCACATGTGTGAATATAAGTCTTTCTATTAAGCAAAACTGGTCATTTTACTTACCTACTTAAAAACAAAATTATTTTGATTGCTTATTATACGCAGAATAAATTCAAGTTTTTTGGCCTGGCTTTCAAGGTTATTGATTTTTCTTTATTTTGAAATAACAAAGCTATACACAATGGAAAAATTCCTAAAAGTAGTTTTCTGTAATCCTAGACATCAAAGATAATTACAGTTAAAAATATGTATATTTTTATAATTTTCTATGCAAGTACAAATATGTAAAATTTGACTTATTTGTACATTTATTCAATTATTTTCATTAATATAGCAACATTCTCTAATATTATTCTGGCAGTTTGTTTTCAGTTCATAAATGTGGCCAGATGTTTGTGTCTGTATTTGTAATTCTACCTCCTTCTATTTAGCAGTTGAATAGAATCCTTAATGTTCTAAGTTGTTCAAACTGTACCCTTTGGGGATATTTGGACAGTTTGCAGTTTTTGCATTGTTATAAGTAACGTGACCATCCTCACAGGATGTCACCACTAAGGTACGTTCCGGGATGAGTTTCTAGAGCTGCACTGGCTGTGTGAGCACATTTGAATCTTTATAAAGCTGTCACCAAATTGCTTCTAAAAGGGCTGTAAATGGCCACCAACAGTGTCCAAAGTTGTCATGTTTCCACCTTTACTCTGAAACTGGATGAAGACTCTGTAATCTTTACCAGTCTGTTCAGGAAAAACCTCTTCAAAATATTTTTTTTGTTAAATTTATTTATGACATATATATATATATTTGTTTATTTATTTATTTTTTTGCAGACAGGGTCTCCACTGTCACCCTTGGTGGAGTTCCGTGGTGTCACGGTTCACAGCAACCTCCATGTCCTGGGCTTAGGTGGTTCTCTTGGCTCAGCCTCCCCTTATTTTTTGGTTGCAGTTGTCACTGCTGTTTGCAGGCCCAGGGCCAGCCTCGGTGTATGTAGCTGGCATGCTACTCACCGAGCAATGGACACGGAACCATATTTTGACTTCTTGACATTGGAATGTATCTATGTGTTTAGTGACTTTTTCTTCTCTTTGCTCTTTGCCTCCGACCTAAACCCTTTGTCTGCTGGAGCCATACACGCCTCTTCCTCCGTGGGGACTTCCTTTTGCACTCCGGCTCCGGGCAGCTGTCCCCATGCCCTCCCCACACACGTCCAGCTGACGTCTCAACTCCACAGGTCCTAGGCAGACTCGCTGGTCTTTGCCATCCTGCAAACTTTCTCCTGCCTCTTTCTCAGCTGGGTTGATGGCAACCCCCACCTTTCTAGGGTCTGAGTCAGACACTTCCTCTCCTTCTCACCTTGGCCTCGCACCATCCTGTTCTCTCTCTTCAAAATGCACCGGGAATCTGACCCCACCCCCAGCTCTTGCACCGCCAGGCTGTTCTCAGCACACACACCTCTCCTGTGGATTACTCAGGAAGTTCACGACCTCTCATTTGCCCCGGGTGGGCTGCTGTGAGCAGAGCAGACACAGTAAGTTCTTCAATATGTAAGTGAGACAACTAAACTCTCAGTTCTAGTCCACCAGACTAGAACTGAGGTCTTGTAGTTGTTCTCAGAGTCAAGGCTGAACTAAGGGTATCTCTTAGTCAAGGGTATCTCTTTAACTTAGCCAGCTACTTGGAACTCAGGGACATCGCTCCAATGCCAAACTTGGATTAGTCCGACAGAAGAAGGACTTTCAGTAAGGAGCTAACGGTTCTTTCTCCAGGCTTGTGTACCGCGCTGAGACATTGCCCCAGTAAGAGACGAAATCCTCGAAACCGCCTGTGCGGCGCTCCCTGGACCAGGCCTCCCCACTGCCCCGTCCGCAGCAGCTGCTCTGCCCGGATCCCGGCCCTCCCTCTCAGTCTTCTCCCTGCTGTGTCTACACTGGGTCCCTGGACGTTCCCAAATGTGCAGGCTGCACGCGGCATCTTGCCAGGCTGGAGTCTTCCGTCACGTGGAGTCACTAGCACCCTTCTCTCCTCGGGACTCTGCTCCTCTCCGCTCACTGACAGGCCTTTTTTTAGAGCAGGCCTTCACCTTTCTGCACACGCTGCCCCCTCCAGACTCCTGAAGCTCCGTTTCTGCTCCTCTTCATTCTCTCTTCTTGGATTGCGTTTGCCACACGCTCCACTTGGTGTTCTTTACTTACTCGTTACAGATGCTGTTGCTTCTCCGTCTCCTCATTACAACATAAACTCCAGGAAGGCAGGTCCTTTGCTCAGTCTCCTGGGGCCACCACAGTCCTCAGGAGCTGCGTGGGGCCCTGCTGGTGCACACTGAGCGTCTGCGGGGCTGTTGAGCGGCACTCAGCAGGGAGCCTCGTGGGCATGAAAGACCAGCAGCCTCGAGAATAGTCAGGGAGCTGTAATTTAGACGGGTGCCGTGCCACAGCCATCAGCTTCCTGTGTGTGACAGTCTGGTGGCGTCAAACCTGGTAGAGCTGTCAGGACACGGCATTTGTGCATTATCGTGAGGCTAAGCGTCATTAGACTCAAAAGCAGAACAGCGTGGTAATTCTCATTTTTGATGGAAGGTCCTTGGATCAGGGCCCCAGCCTGTCTACTGAGACAGCATTTACCATAACTAAGAAGTGGAAACTGTCTTCCAGTCGAGTATCGAAAATAAAGCACTTACCCCACTGCCTCACTGCTTTTGAAGAAAATTAGTGAAACTTGACATTGTTTGGCCTGGAGGATCCCGCACACCATTGGATGGAAAAGCTAATGGAAAATGATTCAAGTGCATGCAGGCAAATGAGATTTATTGTGTGGTTACTGTTACCCACACAAGTTGGAGTATCTGTTGTTTAGGGAATGAAGTCTGCACGTGCAGGTACACACATGCAAATTATGAAAATATTACAGAGATGAAGGTAGCGCTGGCTACTTCAGAGGGGGCATGAGAGAAACACAGATGAATTAGTGAAGTGGAGGGGAAGAATGGCTGTGTTGAGATTTTAGGTTTTAAAAAAAGATCTGAAGCAAATAGGTGAAGGTGTTAACTATATCAATAAATAAATGCCTGTTGCATTCTACACTTTTCTCTATCTTTCTATGTCCATCTTTCTATGGACATATAAAAATTTTGCATATTTGATAAATCATAGGCATGATCCCAGCAATCACCTTCCCTCCACCCATCCTCCCCCCTCCCCTCCCTCTTCCCTTTCCCTGTATTCTTGGTCTAAAATTGGGTTATAGCTTTCCTATGGTAGCTAAAAATTAGTTTCATAATAGGGTTGAGTACATTGGATACTTTTTCTTCCATTCTTGAGATACTTTGCTAAGAAGAATATTTTCCAGTTCCATCCATGTAAACATGAAGGAGGTAAAGTCTCCATCTTTCTTTATGGCTACGATTTATCCTATAAGGGTACATGTGAATCTTTCTAAATGTGGAATATAAATGTCTTAACACAGCAACTATGAGAATGACATGAAGGCTGTGTTGGCCAGTGGATGAAAGTATTTCAAATTGTATATGGAAACAACACACTGTACCCCATGATAGTATTAATGTACACAACTATGATTTAATAAAAAAATTGCATATTTTGTGCTTACACAAGGTGAAGTGAATGTTTTCTTTAAATCCATATGTGCAAAGTAAAGCAATTGAGACTTGGTTGCAGCGTCTCCTATGTCATCCGCTGTGACTGCGTCTCCCTAACAACTGACGCACCATAAACAGCAAATTAAAAAACATAAACCACCTCATTTAGGAAATGCAGATTTCTGTTGATATTTTAGCTAAACTCTTTTATTTGTTTCATTTGCCATAAATAGGGCAGCATGTGAGTTGCTGCCTCTAACCGTTTGTTTTCTGGGGCATAGCGGTCTTTAAGTTGCTTTGGGAAATATCATAAGCCTGATAGACGTGTGTGAAAATGTTACAAAGAGGAGAGTTTATGTTATACGTTTCTGCCTTTGTGTTGGTAGCTCCAATAAGGTATTTCTTCCTGAAAATAAACATTTTTAGAGGTAAGTACAACTGAGAGCAGACCATGGAGACGTAAGCAGAAATCGTCTTGTGGCAGGACCCGCTTGGCAGGCTCCTTTCCTGGTGTGGGCGCCGCCTCCGAGCCGGGTGTTCTGAGAATACTGCTGACATGCACACAAGCTGACTTTGGTCGGCTTAAGACAAAGCTTTGTCAAACCCTGCTTTGGTTTGTCTGCCCTAGGAAGCTTTGAGTGATAAAAGGCTCGGGTAGTCTCTAAAGGAATTGTTTCATCCTTAAATAGATAACTGGGCATCTACTCAGCTCTGTCTCTGCATCCCGGACAGACTGGGTAGTTTGTGAGATATTCTAATCTGGATAGGTGACTTAATTTCTATTTGCTCATCCTTAATTGTCAAACAACACCCAGACACATTTTGGCGGGGTTTTGAGAAACTTAAGTGAGCGTCTGTTGACGCTGTAATTTGGTGGGGGACGCGCTCTCGTCCTGATTAAACCCACGAGCTGCTCTCTCTCCTGCAGCCTCCACTTCATCGTCTTTGACACCGAGACGGCCCACGACATCCTCAAGGTGTGGGATGGACCCGTGGACAGCAACATCCTTCTGAAGGAGTGGAGCGGCTCTGCCCTGCCCGAGGACACTCACAGCACCTTCAACTCGCTCACCCTGCAGTTCGACAGCGACTTCTTCATCAGCAAGTCCGGCTTCTCCATCCAGTTCTCAAGTAGGTGGCAGGGCCCGCTGCTGCTCCATCCTGGCATCAGGTCTTGTCCTAAACATAGAACCCATTCCTGTTCTTAAGCCTCCCCTTAAGTGGATGTGACCTTCGTTGGGTGTAATTTGAAGTTTGTGAAGAGTATATTATGGGGAAGAAGAAATTTCTTTTCTACCCCATCCCTGGGTTCATGGCTGAGGCTTTCCTAGGACCTGTGGAGTTGAGAAAGGTGTAAATGAATGTGTTTGATATAAGTTTGCATAACCTGGAAGCCTTCAGAAGTGGTCCTCCAAAGACAGAGGAAATGCTGCTTGTTTTCATGAGCAGTCATGCTCAGTGAGGCGAGGACCAGAGGGTGATCTAATGGTGGGGGCCGGGCCTCACAAGGCCAGTCTGCCCCGGCTGCTGGCATCTCCACCTGCTCTGCAGGGACAGGGGCGCCCTCTAGAGGGAGGGCTGATAACCTGCTTCTCAAGCTGCTCAGGGAACGCTTTCTGGCCTGCTTTGGGGCCTGCTTTGGGGAAGGCCTGCTTTGGGGAAGACGGGAGGAGGTGAGAGGAACCCTTGGGCTTTATTTTGCAGTGTTGTGTCCTGAACCCTGTCAGAAGCAAAACAACAGTGTCAGGAAATTCGGTTCATTATAGATGGGGACAGGCCATGGATCTACTCGGTTATATATTAAAAAATATGCATTTAAAAGTTTCAGTTAATCTGTAAATATATAAACTTGCCTGCGAGACAGATGTGGGTCTCTACTTGGGTGTAAGACTTACCTTCCGGCTGCTTCCTAAGCTGGTCTCGGTTCCACATTCCCCAGTTACCCTGGGCTGACTCCTGTGTGACGGGGTCTCTGTGCTTGCTACCAGCCTGCTAAGCAGATGTGTTTTAATTTGTCTACCCTCCGCCTCCCTTGCAGAAGTGTCCTCCTGCATTTTTTCTCGCCTTGGGGCTAAGGTTTCAAGCAGCTAATAAGAGAGAGTAACCTCTGCTGAATTATTAGTGTGAAATCACATTTGCACACTTGAACTATTATCTCCTAAAGATAAGTTCTGTCTTCACTGTCTAGCTCACGTTTAATGAATAGTTTCCTGAGAAAGAAGAGTGGAGATATTTTGTGGAAGTTCAACCTCTTAGTGCCCTTCAAATGGCACCATGTGGAGATGCCATATAATTTCGTAGCACACAAGGGCGGCTATTGTCGTAAAACAAGTGAAATTTGCACACAAACACATTTAGACTCAATTTATCTCTTGGCAGGTCTCTGGCAAGCCACATTTAGGATTTACATAAGAAAATTGCCTTAGGTCAATTTAATGCTTTAAAAGGTTGCTAATAAAATTGAGGTTACAGTCGGCACGATTTTTTTTACCTCTGTTCACTGTGTTTTGAAGCGTCATTTGCAACATGTGGCTGTGGAATAGTATTCTTATATGGTGGTGCAATTTTCACTGGTCTGTGGCAAAAATACGAGACTAAGTTTGCTCTAGCTATCCTGCCTGGAGGGGAAAAATTCCTTCACTTTTGATTATGTCACTTTTCTTTTTATTGTGATATAAAATTCCCTTTGCAATGGTGGCAAGATCAGATGGCAGATTTGTGATTTATTGTCCTTATTTGGCAAAACAAAATGTTGATAAGGTTACGAGGTTATGGGCTAGGTTCATTTATCTCCCCTTTCCATTCCATATTCTCCTGGTACATTTTTTTATAGATCTTATATTTTAGAGTAGTTACAGGTTCACCACAAAACCAAGGTGAAGGAATTTCCTGTAAAATTGAGACCACTGCAGAGAGTCCCTCTATGCCCCCCACCCTGACATGTGCACAGTCTACTCCCCACACACCCCCAGAGTGGGGCATTGTCACCATCTGTGACATGTTGGTGAACCATTATCACCAAAGTGCATCGTTTCCCTAGGGCTCACTCTTGGTGGTATGCCTTCCATGGTTTGGAACAAACATGTCATGACTTGTGCAGTGACACCATTGCAGTGTCACTCGGAGCCTTCCACTGCCCTGAGCACCTCTGTGCTCCTCCTGTCCATCTCCCGTGGTGGTAGGCATCAATCTTCCTCCACGTCTTTCCGTGGCTTGAAGGATCATTTCTTTTGAGTACTGAATAATATTCTATTACCTGGATGGACCTCAGTTTATTTATCCATTTACTTACTGAAGGACATCTCAGATATTTCCACATTTTGGCAATTACGTGTACACCTTCTATGAGCTTCTGGGCCCAGGTTTGTGCACAGGACATAAGTTTTCAAGTCATCTGGGTAAACACCCAGGAGCAATGTTGTTGGGTTATATGGTGTAAAAGGAGGCTTAGTTTTATTCCTGGCCTTTTTAAATCATCCCTTAAAAAACACCTCTTGTGGAAACCCAGAAATCCCCTCTTTTTCCATATTTTCTTCCTAATTCTTTCCTTTCCGAGGACATCATCCTAATTTGAGTTAAAGAATAAGACCCTTATTATGTTTATTTGAGGAGTACAGATATTTTTCTTCTCCTCGTATAATTAATTAATATATTATTTTTTTAGGGAGCAATAAGCATAAACACACCCATAAAAATTCCTACAGAAATGAAAGTTCCTTAATTTTATTTCCTTCAGTTTTCTGTGTGTATTAATTTGAAACATATAAACTTGTCATTTCTGTAGGTAAAAATGATTGACTGCTGGTAATTGTGTATGGTTTAATGGAACACTTGGATGTGATCCATGCCCCCAACCCATTACTAGTTAATAAATCCCCCAGTCTAGTATAGACTTTGAAAAATATCATTTTAGGGGAGAAATTACAATGTTGACTATGAGGTTTATTATGAATGAGTTTATACGAGATTGCATTTACAAGTTTATTGAAAGTAAAAAAATAAATAAAAAGATATAAAAGCACAGCCTAGACTGGGACTCAGGAAATTTGGGTTTTTATCTTGCTGTCTCATGATTTAGAGGCAACTTTTCTCTCTGCTCTTATTGCTTTATTTACGAAATGAAGACATGTTCTGGTTTCTGTGGACATTTGCATTTTTTAAAGCTCCACTCTATCCTCCCTTCACTACTCAGATCCACTCTCTCCCTCTTCTCTGTGGCTTTGAGGCAAACCCGTGTGAGCCCCGCCCTCTCAGAGGTCTTCCAGTGGGGCGTTCCAGGGAGAGAGTGGGTCAGGGTCCTGGGCCTCTGCTCCCTGCTGCAGGTTCTCTGGGCAGGCTGTGCCTCTCAATGAAACCTCGCTGCTTTGCTTAAGCTACCGCACTACACATCTCCAGATTTCTACACCCTTCCAGGTGGCTGCCCTTCTTACCAGGATTCCCAAACTCACCTTTATAAAGAATCTGCCTCAAACAGACCTATAGGAAGTGTGCCATATTGCTCATGCCAGGCCCTAACTAACACAATTCCACAAAGAACATTGGCAATCTAATGAAATGGCCACAAACGTGCCCCACTCTTGGGTATCTTTGTGAGTGTGTGTGTGTGTGTGTGTGTGTGTGGAGAGAGCCACAGTACACAAAATCAAAATATATTCAATGCTGTTGGTGGCTCCCCTGCACTCACAATGATAGGAAGTTCAATATCAGTCTATTTATAGAAGCCTCTTCCCAGTTTTGATTACCAGGGAGCTCCGTGATAAATTCAGGGTGGGAGAGGCAGGAAAGGACCTGGTCCTATCCTTGCAATGGGCATGATAATCACTCTCCCTTCAGGTCAGGTAGCACAGATTTCACCTGGGCAGCCACAGGAAGCCACCCCACCATGATTCTCTCTGAAGATCTCAGGCCTCAACCCAGAGACATACCTTGACAGTCCAAGGCCCAGAGCTCAGCAGGCCACCTTGGATCACCCATTCACTCACTGTAATTTGAAGTTAGCCTATTCTGGGAGCTCAGATCACCCATCCACTCCCCATGAGATGAAGTTAGTCTATTGTGGGAGCTCAGATCACCCATCCACTCCCCATGAGATGAAGTTAGCTCACTGTGGGAGCTCAGATCAGCCATCCACTCCCCATGAGATGAAGTCAGTCTACTCTGGGAGCTCAGATCACCCATCCACTCCCCATGAGATGAAGTCAGTCTACTCTGGGAGCTCAGATCACCCATCCACTCCCCATGAGATGAAGTTAGCATACTCTGGGAGCTCAGATCACCCATCCACTCTCCATGAGACAAAGTTAGCCCACTGTGGGAGCTCAGATCACCCATCCATTCCCCATGAGATGAAGTTAGTCTACTCTGGGAGCTCAGATCACCCATCCACTCCCCATGAGATGAAGTTAGTCTACTCTGGGAGCTCAGATCACTCATCCACTCCCCATGAGATGAAGTTAGCCCACTGTGGGAGCTCAGATCACCCATCCATTCCCCATGAGATGAAGTTAGCCCACTGTGGGAGCTCA